GAACACTTGTATGTTCTACCTTCACCAGCTTTAAGACATAAGATGAGAATTGTGAACAAAATGAATTGTACAATATTTTGGAACCAGTTCTTGTTTTATTTCACTTCATATTCCGGTTGTAATGACGTGGAGGTGCTTATTCAACTTTGTGAACCACTTGTTCATCATGTTCACATGGTACCACGCGAACCGTAATCTGTTTTCTGGTCGTCCTATATTCGAGGCTGCCATCACGCGGCATGCTTCGTCCACGGTTCTGAACACAACCCGAGCACTGGTGGCGCTCGTCATAACAATCTTCTCCACTCTGCCAATGTAGGATAAAGTGTTGGTGAGTGTTTGTGGGTTGTAACTTTGTCCGTTTCGAAGAATTCTCCACCTTATAGGAATTAATAAAGTGTCAATACATATTGGGGTCTTTAAATGTTTTATTTGATCGATATCTGCACGCAGAAAACAATAATACAATGTAATAATTACGATTACCAACAACCACTTTGAACGCCGAAGGTAATACAGTAATAGCCTGGCCTGTCGACAGTTCTCGAACCTAATTTGTTTTTATATCTGATGAAATATCTCAAATTAAAATACTGAAAGCTTTTCTCCTAAATGTCGAATAAAAATGCGTTCGGTATTTTAATATATAATAAATTTATAATAAATAAGGTCCGAGAACTTTCGAATATCTAATAGTGGCCTCTGTAATCTTTTTATGGTCGGTATTTTCGAAATACAGTAAAAAAAGAGTTTTCACCGGCCAAGCTTATATTTTTCACCTACCTGACTTCTACTGTTGAAAGAGGAGCTTGTTTCCTGTTCAAAAGTGTGTCTCTTCTGACCACTTTCTCGAGTTCGTCGTCAATGCTGAATTTCGGCACACTATTCAACATTGGTATCGGCGTCAAAGTGGTCACGTTGTATTCTGGTTCCATCGCAGCAGCTTTGTATCGTACATTAATTTCTTGGTGCATAGTTTTGACACTCGTTTTTCGGCAAATGTCACTTCTTGTCGACATGATGGGACCGTTCTTCCGACTACTGACTATCGATAAACTTCGGCTACTATGTGAACGACCTAAAATAAACAAAAATATATGTAATAACTACGCATATATCTTTTATAATGAAACATTTTATTCTATGATAATATATTAAATTATGTTGAAACTGTATCTAAAATACGGTGACCTTACCACATCCCATATTTTCTGTCGGTAAGTCAGCAACAACCAGTCTACGAGAGCTTCCAGTGACCGTCTCCGTAAACGGGTCCTGTAATAGTGTGCACCAGTTAGCCAGATGACGGAAAACATGACGACCGCGTATCTCACTTGGTTTTTCCAGTAGTGTGGACGTCTGTAATTTGCGCTTTGTTGGCAGTTGTTTATTTTTTTCCTCACCGTGCCGGATTATTGCTCGCCGTACGTTTAATGCATCTTCCATATACTTGGACATTTTCCCAGAACATTAATGTCCAAGCATATCATCTACATAGACTCTGTGATGAAAATAATAAGCCGTATCTGTATACTATTTCGTGTTTCCCAAGGCGTTACAACAGGTGCTATCGAACTTGCGTAAAGCCATTAGAACGTTCATATGTTCGTTTATGAACACCATTGCGCGTTTAGATGACGAGGCACAAAATCGTTGTCATAGCGACTGCGTCCGAAGGAGGAATATTCATTCTCCGCCATAGAGTTCCTAGCGGTTACGACACGGAAAGTATATATTCGTGGAAATAGACCTCTGCGTGAGAGATTGAGATATAGTGACCATAGTAGTTTGGAGTTCTGCTTGTAATGATTTTATTTTCGTGTTGAATGAGTGGAGACATATACGTAATCAAAAATAGAAACATACATATAACTTTGCGTCTCCCACACACACATTTTTAAGAATATAATACAGCGCTGTAAATTAAGATCACGTTGCTGTCTCGATGTGTATCATGCAAAAGAAAGACTTTCCCATGCAAACATAAATTATTGAAGTGCGCGCGCCCTCACGCCTCTCAGTCTCAACACTTGGGGGCGCTACCGGCACGTCGGTCACTCACCAGCTGATATTTGTGCAAAACAGGATCTTGCCTTTGAGACCGCAGTAGACATCACACAAAGGTGTCTGTCGCAGCCATTGTGATGTTCGGAAAAATCAACATTACCGGCTGGAAATCGAAAGCGTGCAGACTAGCGCCTGGATGGTGTTCGGGTAAGTCTAAGTATACATAAATAAATCTAGTAAGACTCAGAAGACTTGAACAACAACAATCCGGTGCTTGGATATTTCGGACACTCGTCGCCGCTGCGCAAGGACAGACTTTGCCATTAAACGTGACTCGCGTCTCCATCGCATATGTTAATGTTTATATATTTACTGCTGCGTTTATGCGTACCGGGTAAACTAACTGATTTTTAAATAAAGACCAGACTGATTTTATTATCGTGACAGCAAATCGAAGTCATCACTGTGGTCTCTGGCATTAACCGTAATTTTTAGTACTGTAGCAAGTGGTGATTTACGTCCATCTCGCGCCAGAACCAACTCGCGCCAAATACGTGATTCAGTTCATGCTAATTATTCGTACTTCTCACTTCTACTGTTAAAGCATGGAGCTAGCTCCATACACTCAAGAAAAAGTCGATAATTGCGAGATATTTTGAAATTATTAAATATTAAAATTTAAGTAGTAATGCAGCTGATTTTGCAAATATGATCTGTGCTCATTACTGTAAATGTATTAATTTTTCACTAAGTTTTAAGTTTACTATTGTAGAGCGTCAGACAGTGTGTACTGTGATAATCCAAAAAATGTTGCTGTACTGCGTAGAATGATTCATTGGGGTCATTTAAGGTGATAGAGAAAAATTCCTTGTGCAATATAACATAGCTGCAGTTTACTCTTCCAGATTTGTCTGCCAATTGATTAGATGAAAATTAAAAACAAGTCAATCTGCTCAAAAATATTTCAATTAAATGCCAGTAGAAATAAATCGGCAAAGCACAGGATTGTTTATTGGATAAATTTTCAGTTTATTTTCTTACTGGTATAAAAAAAACATGAGAAGCAATAGACAGATTATTTGTATAAACAAAGTATTTACGTCATTTCTATATACGGTAATTGCAGCACAATTGGTATACATGTAGCTGCTAATGGGGATATTCAGCACCATTTTGAGCTTCAGATGATGGAACGTTTGCCAGCAGCAAAAATACACCTTGTTTAACTACAATGTACATATCTATACAGTTTAATGTCCATAGAAATTGTACATTTGCTAAGAGCAACTCTTTGTATTTTACAAACCCCTCCGATAAATCTAATGTCTGCAGGAACACTTGAATCGACTCGTTTTGGCGGCGCATTACTTTCCTTGACTAATGATACTATAAATTTTCAAAACGTGACTTGACAAAACAATAAAATCAATAAATCAGGTGATGTTGATGTGGCTGCCTATTGTACCTTGTTTGCTTTATCTGCATTTGCATAAATCCCCTGACGGACAAACAATAACATAACGAATAGCGATAGTAAGATCGTAAGTGTCACAGGTAACAGCATCCCTCATTCGAACGCTTTCAAATAGTGCCCAGAAGCTCTTCTAAGTATTGAAAATACCCCCGGTAGTTCAAAGTTCAAAACAACTGTACAAGTTAAAATATGTTACTACTTTCTGTAGTATTTCAGTTGATTGCTGCAATTTTAATAACAGCTTTAATATTTTAGTCGTAAAAACAATGTGTTTATTACTTATCTCTAGTAGTATTTTTAATGCATTTTTAAATGACAAAACCATTGCTGCCTACCTAATGTAGAAAACACATTGCCTAATTATCATTAGATGGAGGAAAAGGTATATGTTGTAAATGTCTGTCCTCTTCATCATTTCGTTGTCATTTCTGGTGTAAATATTTTTTTTTTCTGCTAAAATAATGTCTAGTATTTCTCCTTCAGAGTTTTGCATAGATATTTTGCTTTATTATTTAGGTACAAAATACAATTTATATATTTATACAAGTTATGTTTATATATTCAATAAGGTACCCTGCAATTAATTCAGTATTTGTATTGATTTGGGTACATGAATATTATTTTTTTATTTTTGGTAGTATGATACCAGTATTTACATTACTCTAATTTTTGCTCTGCTTGTGTTTTATTGTATATATTTTTTTTAAGTATTTTTTTTATTAAGGTTTATAAAGGCAACAAATATAATGATGACTTTATTTCAATTCATCAAAATAGTTCCCACCTAAATTTAGCCATTGTTCGATGATAGTGAGTGCATATTAGTATTGTTAAATTTTTATTCAGATGAATATAAACTTTATTCCTTAAAATTTCAGCATTTTAGAATATCCCCACATCTTCGCTTTAGACTGTGATTAAATCATTGACTGTGATAGTAAGTTTTAATTTTTACTAGACCAACTGAAATCTTGGGCTTATGGCAGTAAGTATAAATATTGTACATGTATTTTGATTGGTATTTGTGTTACAACATGGTAGCGATGTATAAATTACAGTTTATATATTTTGTTGTGAACTTTAAATAGGTTTTAAAATCATGAAAAGGACTGTAATATAAGAGCTGAGTGAAACTGTAGGTAGACACTCACATTTGGTCAGTTTTTAGTAGGTATTGAATTTTTGAGTGTCAGATATTTTTCCCACCCAAAATTTCAGTGCAAATATTTTCACATTTTATAAAGTTGTGACTAAATTTCATCATAATTTTGGACCATATAGACAGTTTCAGATATTGCTTTTAGTTTTTGACCAAAAGATTTTTCAATTTTGATCAACTTTACATGCAGGCTGTACAAAATTGTTATTTTTTTTTTATTGCACTTGCTATGGTTTTCAATAAATTTACCATGGTGACGTTTTTCATTGTTTATTTAGCATTATCAGAGTATTGACCTTGTTATTATAATTTTTTTTTTATTCTATTCCTAGATAAGGTCGTAGTAATGTGAATGTTACCATGGAAACCAAGGAGTCAGCAGAACGGTGTGATGACACAGACTTCGTCCTGTACGAACCACAATACTCCAACCACATTTTAGATAGCCTGAATAATTTCCGGAAAGCGGGATGCCTGACGGACACTGTAATCAGCACAGGGGGAAAGGAATTTCCCTGTCATAGAGCAGTGCTGGCATGCAGCAGTCCTTATTTTAAGGCCATGTTCTCAGCTGAAATGAAGGAAACTCAAGAAGGCCGCATCACACTGGATAACGTCAGAGCCGAAACTCTTGAACTCTTATTGGAGTATGCGTATACGTCCAAAATTACGATTAACTCGGCAAACTCACAGGAGTTACTTGAAATGGCTGACCTGCTGCAATATAAAACCATTGTACAAGCTGCAAGTGAATATCTCGAAAGACAGCTTCATCCTGATAACTGCCTCGGTATTAAGTACGTTGCTGAGATGCATGCGTGCACCAGGCTTTATGAGCGTGCCAGTGCGTATGCCTTAGACAGATTTCCACAAGTTGTGAAAAACGAGGAGTTTTTGCAGTTGCCCTTGTTCGAAGTTGTTGCTTATCTCAGTCATGAACGAATAAATGTCCGCGATGAAGAGACTGTCTTCGACGCCGCTATAAGCTGGGTGAAGTATGAGCTTAAGAAACGACTGCCCAAATTACTCGTAGTTCTACAGTGCATTCGCCTGCCATATTTGACACCAGCTTTCCTGTGTAGTATCTTAAAGAATCCACTTTTCAAGCAACAGTCGTCATGTTTTGATGTTATACAACAAGCCATGCATTTACAGGAATATTTACAAAGTAACGAAACTAATATTTACCACGTGGGTCACCAGCCGCGGTGGTCCACGAAAACGGAAGTAATGGTTGTCGTAGGTGGTTTTGATGCGAATCACACGTGGGTGTCGGACGTCCACTACTACAATCCAGTAAATAAAAAGTGGGGGAAGTTTGCTCCATTTCCAGCCGATATCAGTGGTTATAAAGTTGTAGCATTAGACGAAGATATTTACGTAACTGGCGGTAAGAGTTCGAGAGGAGTGACTGGTGCGGCATTTTGCTACCACTCTGCTCAAGATCAGTGGAACCAGGTTCCAGGTCTGCACATCCCCAGACAATACCATGGAATAGTTGTACTGGATAGTTCCATTTATGTGGTAGGTGGAGAAGACGGTGATGGGAGATGCATTGGTGATGTGGAATGTTATCACCCGTCAATGGAAAACTGGGGTTGGGTGCCTCAACTACCAACTGCTGTCGGAAACCCTGCTGTGGTTTCTCATTCCGGAAAGATGTACGTCATCGGGGGCTACTGCAATGGTCAGCTTACTTACAGAGAAATGCAATGCTACAACCTTGATATAGATACATGGACTGTCATCAATACAGTCACCATAACAACCAGGCATTTCCCAGCGCTCGTGCTCAATGATTCAATTTACCTTCTGAGCGGGGCAGGTAAAGGTGGTATGCAGATCTACAACCCTGAAACAAATACATGCGGTCGGAATTCCGAAATGTGTCTGCTGGAACGACACCTGTTTGCTGTCTGTGTAATGAATGGAATGATTTATGTTGCAGGGGGTATGGTTAACTATAAGGCTCTCGGAAGTGTTGAAATGTACGACCCAAGTACGAATACCTGGAAGATAGTTGGATGCATGCCAAAACCGCTGAGAGCTCACGGCTGCTGTGCCTCTATCAGAAGGTATAGTGGACCGCCTTTTATAACCTGAGAGTCCAACCAGTGACATCTATATTTGCAAAATCAAGGTCATTCTTTATTTGATCTTTCGAGCCGAATCTTCGTCACTGTTGACCTCCATGTAGTTCGCATGATGACTGGTCTGCATATAAATCCAAGGTTGATTTATAACAATGCACCAAGTTCATGAAAATTTCTTGTATGTTCGTACATAGATCCTTAGGGTCTGAAGATGGTAGTGCCGCTGTGTTTGATTGTCCCTGCATGCCTAATAATACCATGGCAACACCAATAAAAACTTTCAAAGAATCCACAGCAAGACTGATTCAATATATTTTTTTGAAAACAGATATATTCTTTAAATGTAACAGTTTGCTAATACGTTGGCGTTTGTATCGAGTGATTTTGTTCATAATCAGATTTCTGTATGTGTTGACATTTCATTACTGTAAAACATGTCTTTTTCGCGAGCATGTCTTTTTAGCGAAACGAGAGAACTAATTCGATAATTTAGGTTGTCGCTAATGACTTCATTATAAATTCAAAATGGCAGCCAAACAACATCTTTTTCTCCAACACATACTTTGTAAACAACACAGAAAACTTAATAATTTGGAGCGCTTCCTTGTTACTCTTGATAGTTTTTGTTTTGTTTTTATGGAGGTGATAACTGCGCATTTGTTTTGGCCTGCGACAGACAAGTATTGTGAAACAAAGACAAAAGAGATTTGCTAAATCAACATCGCTATTATGTCATTTTACCACAATTCGCTAAAATAATACGTCTCTTTTTCAACATGTTTTACAGTATTTTTATATTAGTAGCGTGAGTACTTACGTAAATGATTGCGGTGTGTCTATGATGATACTGTTACTATGAGTGTAGTTTTGGGTTCACATGTCTTTATAGTGATATGCTACTATTAGAACAAATACAGTAGTTGTATCTATGCATTAGAGAGAGTAAAGAGTAATTAGAGAGGCTAGCTAGCAATGCTACTTTCAGTTTCAATTTTTGTGTTACGTGTACATGATTCGCATAACAATATGATATATGCTAATATTGGTAAATACCCATGAAGACAATTAGGTTTTCATCCCAAACCATTCCTCCTAATTGGTTACCATTGCAACTATGTTGTCATGGATACTTAAACAGTACTTAAGTTCCGATTAAAGACTTATAAATTTGAAATAGCTTTTGTTTCTGTACTGATTTCAAAAATTAGAATGATCTAGTCTCCCAAAAAATATGAAACAGCTGTTTTGTTATAAGTTTCATCCAACTCCTGCAAGCTTAGTGGATTACAAATCCTAAATAGGAATTAGCTATGCGATGTGTGCTTTCATATGAGATACTGTTGTAAATTTTTTTTTCAGACTAAACAAACAGATAGTGAAGCAATCTGTCATCTCTGTGTGAGTGTGTATTTTGTTTCTGTCAGTTTGCCCGTATTATTCAGCAAAAAGCTATTTTGGAGAAGATTTGTTGGATGAATTATGTATCTATTTTAAGGACCTGATTAAAGCATATGCACCTAGTCACAGTATGCTAATCCAAGTGTCTTACTGGTTAACACAGTTAATTTATTAATGTTTGTATATCATCTAAAAGTTTCCAATGTTTTCCAAATTGGGTTCTCCCTCATTATGCATCACTCCTAATTTGCATATGAATGAGATGTTAATTGTTTCTGTCACCCGATCAGTTATGAAAAATAATGATAATACAAATAGTAAATAAAATAAGCAGTAACTTATTTTTAAGAGCAGACTTTTATAATCAAATTGTTAACTTAATTCTGTGATTTTGTACATAATTGTTTATCCTTTTTGATTGCATGTACATTACATATTACAGTTATTATTGTGACCCATATACCCATCAGATGATAATTTTAATTATTTCTCGCTTGTAAATAATATTAGAACTTGGAATCCGCCCATTGGTTTCTGCAGTGTTTCACATTTAATTTCTCAAATTTGTTTGTGTAGTACAAACAGTTGTTGAACTGAGTAGATCTTCCAACCATACAGTTCTAACATTGTTTGTTAGTGCCGCAGTAAGGCACTCATAACCATGATTTTTTATAGTTATAAAACAGTGAGTTAATTCCGACCATTCTTAAACATTTGGCAAATTGTTAGCATAGGTTACTGGTTCTATTAATTTCTCTTGATTAGACAGACGAAAGATGATGCATTCAATCTAGAGAAAATAAACTAACATCTTGTTTACATTAAAGTACATGTACATGTCTTACATTACAGTATTGTTCTGATTATGAAAGTGCAGTTCTTATTTTTAAGTAATGTTTTCTTGACTGTTACAGCTTTTCAGTGATTAGCCATGCCTAATTTACACGCAATAAACTATAGAAAAATACCTAAATATGTTGGTGGGAAGAATTCTAATTCTAATTACCCTTTGAACGTCATAATTTTTTCTAGACAAATTTGTGTGCAACATTTTGCTATATGTATTTTTCTGTAATTTTTTTTTTGGTGATAATTTTGGAACATAGCTCACTTTTACATCCAATACTGCAAAAATTTTTTTTCTGTGTGTGCAAGAACGCATCCTAAACATGTTTATGCTTGTTCTGTCATGTAAGAATTGAAATTTAATTTGTGTTCCATTTCTGTTTCACTGTCGTTGCTATGGTTTTATCCTACGTTTCCACAGTTTGTCTAATTGGAACAAATAACCATTGTGGAAAATTAGTTTGGTGTAGGCGCAGTGGTCTTATAACACTGTCTCATGATGTTGTCTGGTCTATGTGTCAAATAGTATATTGTTCTTATTCAAAAATATCATTTCAATTGCCGAATACGTGTTATTGGTGCTGCTCATTTTGAACAGATATCTTGTAGGAATAATGATGTTGACATCCATCTTTGTGTCTAAATCTGCATATGCTACACTGCACTCTTGTGTTTTACAAAGTTTATTCGCAAAAATGTTTAAATTATTAAACTTGTAACTTTTTTGCTTCTTGTTAAAAACCGCAAGTCTGATTACTTAGATATTACATATGTAGGTACTACATGTGGACCTCTCAGATTTGTTTATTTCGTGATGTTATCTTTAATTCTCTAATTTTGACGAATATTTTTGTCATTTTTGGTAAAAAGTGATATTTTGGACTTCTTGTTAAAAACCGCAAGTCTGATTGCTTTGATATTACATAAGTAGGTACTACATGTGGACCTCCCTCAGATTTGTTCATTTCATGATGATATCTTTAATTCTCTAATTTTCATGAATATTTTTGGTAAAAAGTGATATTCTAACTGCTTTGATATTATATATACTACATAGGTACTACAGGTAGACCTCTCTCAGATTTGTTCATTTTGTGATGATATTGTTCAATTATCTAATTTTAATGAATATTTTTGATAAAAAGTTATATTTTCAAATTTTTGTTGAAAACAGCAAGTCTTATTGCTTTAATACTATACTTAGTGTTCATTTTCTGATGATATCTTCAGTTCTTTAATTGAAATGTGCATTGATAACAGTGGAGCTATCTCAGCCGACAGGCTGCTTGTTTTTAATAAGGTGAACTCAAGTAAAGTAGTGTTTAGATAAACTATAACACGCACACCGACTCAGAGAATGTCAGAGACAATGTAGTGGGCGATTATTAAAATCATGGTTGCCGGGATTTGTTAAACATGTGGCACACATTTTAAAGAAAGATTCTTATTGATACAATATTATACCGATGATGGTACCTTTGATATGAAAGCTTTGAATTATTGTTTTAGTAAATCAAACAAAATGTTGTACGTTGCTCTTGTTGAACTGTCGAGTTGAATTGATTTTTGCTGTAAAGGTATACAGCTGTTTAGGCTGCTTTGGGTTGAACACCGGCTTTATTTGGTGTGCATTCATTTTATTTATTTTTTTTACAGATGAACGATAGTAAATGATATTAGCATGTAAGTTTGAATTAATCAAGTCTATGCCTGTGTTTATTCCTGTCCTATAATATTTATTCTATTGAAAGCAGATTTACAGCATTTGTTTTGGCAGTATTATGTTTTATTAATTGCATATTTTTCAATTTGTGATTTTAATGGAGAAAATATGTTATTGGTTATCGGATAAATATATTGATGGACACACACTTTCTCATGATCTTTGCTACAGAGTATAAACCTCAACAGCTGTGGTCAGATTTCAGTTTGAATTAACTCCAAGTATAATCATTTAAATATATAATTTTGTCTACTAAGGCAAGAATGGACATTATTGTAATTTATTTTTCAAGAGCACTTCAGCTGCTGTGTTTGTAGAACAATTATTTCAACACTGGAATATGATTGACGCAAAGTCCAGTTTCTTCCGCATTTACATCCTCGCATTTATTGAAGTCTGTTTACATTTGTAAGAAAAGTTAAATTGCTATATAACAGTGAATTAGTTTTAGGGTATGTGCCAACTTTACTGCAAGAAATCTGTTTACAATTGAATCCTATCACTACATTGTATTTGATTTCATGTAATCAGCGCACTTTGCCAAATTGATGTGATATATCTATGAAATGAGAATTTACTACTGTAGAATAGACATTATTGAGAAGCATATTGTACCTCACAGAACTGATCTGTTTATCTCAAATCTGGATACTACTACTGTTGTGCTTCGTATACTGTCTCCATTAATATCTGGATTTATGCACATATTTTGCTCATTAACTATGTAGATTTATGTGCATATTACGCTCATTAACTATCTGAATTTATGCACATATTTTGCTCATTAACTATGTAGATTTATGTTGTGAAAAATGTGTGGATGAACTACTATTGTCTGTCGGCAGAAAATGTTTGTCACCCATTGGTCATACATGTATATGGGCGTATGGGAGCCATATTGACAACTACCACCACCCTTTAAGACTGTATAGATTGTTGTGTTTATGTTTCTTGTGAAGGGAGAAAATCACCCAAATTACATTGACTGTGGTCAATGGATCATTCTTAGGCATTATTTCAGAGGTCTTTGTGCAACTGATCAT